CAACAACAACAACAACAACAACAACAACAACAATAGCAACAACACTACCACCACCACCACCACCACCACTACCTCCACCTCCAACAACAACAACAACAACAACAACGACAAGGCAATAAGGTCGGACAAAGGGGCCCTATGGTGTTGCACATTTTGCCAAATAAACACACTTGGCCGTCTTTGTTACTCCTCATAGTAATGGGAAACTACTCCTAACAGAATTCTTTATGATAACTAGTACGATCTCACTTCTAGAATTGTATGAACTGAGCAATAAATTATCTATTAATATTAAAGAGACTGCGGGCTGTATAAACATGCGCCAATTTATTGTACAAAACTTTCAAATAATCCCTCTTTCTGTCTGTCTGTCTGTCTGTCTGTCTGTCTGTCTTTCTGGTCCACTTCTCTCAATCCACCTCTGGCATCTCTACTTCTTTCTGCCCTCAGTTTCTGAACCTTCTCTCTGGGGAATCGAACCCCAGTATCCCACGTGACAGGCGGGGATACTTACCACTATACTACAGACGACGCACTTCCTTCGCTACAAAATTATAAATATTGAATATTACTTAATTATGTGACGTAATTGTGTACGCACAAACCACAGCTTGTGCCCGCCATAGTCATGTTCAGCAGTCGCGTAGCCATTCATTCCTCAGTGTCTCAACCCCGACAAAAGGATCATGGACCCGCGGTCTGAACGTTATACGATTGTACGAAAAGGCACAAAACAGATATCTGTTACTGTTACTGCAGGTAGTCTGTGTGGCACTTTGTTATATTATTTTAGTGTTATCAGATGTTTAAAAAAATCATTCCATTTCAGAGCCTTATGTTAATGAAATTTAGAGTCAGATCCATTGGTATTATTATGATGTTTACGGAAGAGTCTTGGTCACGCTTTCATAAAATAAAAAGCCATTCTTGTACTAGTGTGAGACAGCGCTGGGTGGACTTTGGGACACCACGTCTCTTAACTCAGAATGAATATCCTGACTGGCTATTGGATATATGAGTGTAATTTATTCTTTAACTCCATCATTGCTGAGCCGTGACCGCTTACTAAAATACGTGAAGAACTGAATCATGACAATGATAACTATACATGCGGTAGACGCAGTGGCGGCTAGTGGATTATAGAACTGACCGGCGGTCATTCACGTCGACTATTTTTCCCTCCCCCACCCCCTTCCTTCACAACACACACACACACACA